GCATCCCAAAACCAGTCCAGCTCGTCCCTGCCTCCCTAACCTGTTCTTCCTCCCACCTATCCCCTCCTCCCACCTCAAGCCGCACCTCCATCTCCTACCGACCAACCTCATCCTGCCCCCTTGACCTGTCCGTCCTCCCTGGACTGACCTATCCCCTTCCTAACTCCCTACCTACACCCACCTTTACTGGCTCCATCCCCGCCTCTCTGACCTGTTTGTTTCCTCTCCACCTATCCTCTCCTCTATCCCTCTTCTATCCGCCTCCCACCCTCTCCTTATTTATTTCAAAACTCCCTTCCCCTCCCCCTTTTCTGATGAAGGGTCTAGGCCCGAAACGTCAGCCTCTCTGCTCCTATGATGCTGCTTGGCCTGCTGTGTTCATCCAGCCCTGCACCTTGTTGTCTGGCATAAGATAGAGTGTTGGTTTTAGGTGGGATGTTCTTCGGAGGGTTGGTCTAGACTCGATGGGCTGAATGGCCTTCTTCCACACTGTAGAGTTTCTATGATTCCATGATTCCTAGTGGGGATGAGGGTTGTTCGTGGTGCAGGTACACTGGTGAAACTGACTCTGTCCTACCTGAAGTGGAGACAGTTCAAAGGAGACTTAGTTGAGGTATTCAATACACATGAACAGCTTGGAGAGAGTCAATGGGGAGAAAATCTCCTCTTTGATGAAGGGATTGAGAACCAAAAGGCAAAAGAATCAAAAACAGCAATAAGCAAACATTTTTCAGTGAGTGAGCGGTTAGGATCAAGGAGACATTGCCTCAGGGAGTGTTGGGCGGAGACTCAATCACAGCTTTCAAAAGGAACGAGACGAGAAAACATTTTTAGGGCTATGGGAAAGAGTGAAGGCAAAGGAGCCTCTCTTTTATTTATTTATAGGATGTAGATTTTTTCTGGCTAGGCCCATTTATTGGCCATCCACAATTTCCCATGAGGAGTTGGTGGTGAAATGTCTTTTTGAACTGCTGCAGTGTAATGTTGTGTAAGAACAGTGTCTTTTTATTTTGTGCTGTTTTGAAAATAAAACTGTGGACTGCAACGTGAGAGAGCTGTACTAAAAACAATGTTTGAAAACAGACATGTATATTTTGAAAGCAAGTAACCTGACACCCATTGCAGACCTCGATAACTAACTGTTTGAACATGCAGTAATTGGAGTTAGAGTTACAGAAAATTTGGAGCAGAGTAGATGTTCCAATACAGTTCTTGTCAGCAACAAGAAGTTGATTGGTCTACGGACTCGTGACCAGTTTTTGATGATAGAGACCTATTAATTGTCAACAACTCTGTGATTGGTTCCCAGGACACTGAACAGCTTGGAACTGGGAACAAGTTACAGAGAGAGACGTATTCAGCTCTCCCCAAGCTCAGGAGTGGTTTCTCCATTCCCTGCAGTCAAAGCTCACTGTAAACCTGAAGAAAATCTGTTTGTCTTTCCTGCAACAGTTGTATGCTATGATTTTTAACTGATAAGTTAAAGTTCTGAGTGGATCATCAGTCATGATCATATTGAACATCATGGAGAAGGCTTGAGGGGCCAAATGGTCTCCTCCTGCTCATATTTTATATGATTCTATATCCCTGAAATTTTGAAAGGGCTGGACACGGTGTGTGCAGAAAGGAACTGCCTCCTTGTCTTTGGCAGCGGCCGTGTCAAAACTGGGGACACATAGTCTCAAAGTAAAGGGCAAATCCTATAGGGCTGAGATAAGGAGGAATGTCTTCACTCAGAAGGGAGTGAATCTTTGGAATGCTGTACCCAGGGGAATGTGGAAGCTCAGTCATTGAGGGTGTTGAGTACAGAAATGAATAGATTTCTATATAGTAATGAGATCATTGGTTACGGGGATAGGTTGGAAAAGCAGTTTTAATGATCAGCCATGATCTATTTGAATGGTTGTGCAGGCTTGAGGGGCTCAATGGCCTACTCTTGGCACTTCACCTGACAAAGGAGCAGTGCTCCGAAAGCTTGTGATTTCAAATAAACCTGTTGGACTGTAACAAAAACAGAAGTTGCTGGAAAAGCTCAGCAGGTCTGACAGCATCTGTGAAGAAAACAAATTAGAGTTAACATTTCGGGTCCGGTGACCCTTCCTCAGAACTCTTGTTGACTGTTGGACTATAACCTGGTGTCACATGACTTCTGACTTCGGCCTACTCTTGCTCCCATGTTTCTATGTTCCTTTTAACTGATAAGTCAGAGACTATTTATAAGCGTATCAAATGTTCTCTTACCACTGAAGAAAAATAGGATTGAAGCAATATGTTGACAGGCAGAAAGATAAACTCAACTACAGAATCTGGGGACAAAGGTTACTGAACTGTCTTTCCAGTTTATCCCCTCTGCCCAAAAACCTATCTTCCTGTCTATACGTCTGTGTGTGTACAAGGGAGTATTTATAAAGGGATTAGAGTTTTAATTAGTGGTGTTATATGCCAACTGTTTATGTCTGTTTACTTGTAGCTAGAGTCTAAATACTTGTCATAAATAGTAATTCTTGTTCAGTACAGAAACCTAGTCTACGCTTTCTATTAGTTTATAAAATTTTTAACATTTCTGATGACTCCAGAAATAGTCAGGCTCAGTTTTGAGCACACTACCCCAGTGAGTTGTTACAGTAGCTCCATCTACATTGTTGATACGGAGGAAGTGCCAGGAATTTGATCCAACTAGTGGAGTGGCTCTTGTAGAGGACATGGACTCATTGGACCAAATAGCCTTGATCTATAAAATGACCATTCTTGATTCTATGATGTGAGGGAACCTTTATGAAAGAGGGGGACCTAGAGTCTAAAATAATTTAAGGAATTTACAAAGTGATCAGCTTGTAGTTTGAGAAATGATTTTTGCTGGATAGTAACAATTTGATCTACAGCTGTTCCAGTCCTCCTATCTCAGTTAAACTTTACCCCTTTTGAGATCTCTTGGATGAATTTTAATTAACGGAGAGAGTCAGAAATCAATTTCTCAGACTTTGCTCTTTCTGAAATCGTCTTTGGTTCTCCACGACTTTTGGATTCTCACCAGAGATTGTATAGTTAGGGGTAGAGTGGAGCGTAAATACTGGGATGAACAGAGGATTACAATTAAACAGGATAGGCTGGATGAGCCATACATGTGGAAGTGAACAAAAATAGTAGCCTTTGTGCAACTCAATTTGCACCTCCTGTCAGTCAGACAGAAAGTAGCAATAAGTGATAACTTCTTGTGAGGCACCGGGAGATGTTTTGCAACACTACATGTGCTGTACGAATGCAAGTCATTGTTGTTAATGAGGTCCATAGCTCTTAGCAGGTCATGGCCACAGTTGCAAGGTGCCAAGCAGCAGGGTGGAAAATGGTAAGAGTTTTAAACAAGATGATAGTTATTTAGCGAGTGAATAGTCCAGTCTGTTGTCTGGTTACATTCAGATGAAACCTGAACAAAGAACAGCCCAGCACAGGAACAGGCCCTTCGGCCCACCAATACTGCACCGACACATGATGCCTGCTAAACTAAAAACCTCTTGCCTCTACACTGTTCATACCCTCTATTCCCTGCCTACTTATGTATTTGTCAAAATGCCTCTTAAACATTGTTATTGTTTCTCCTTATAGCACTTCTAGCACTTCCACACACTTACCACCTTTAGTGTAAAACACCTGCCTTCCACATCTCCTTTAAACTTTATCCCTTTCAGTTTAAACCTGTATCCCCTAGTCATTGACATTTCTACCCTGGGAGCAAGATTGTGACTACCAATTCTATCCATGCCTGTCATAATCTTATAAATTTCTATCAGGTTGTATCTCAGCTTCTGACATTCAAGTGAAAACAAACCAAGTTTGTCTGGTCTCTCCTCATAGTTAATACCTTCCAAACTGAGCAACATCCTGTAAACCTTTCCTGTCCCAACAAACGTCTCTCTCTAACAAGAGAGAAGCCTAAGGTCTAGTAGGACTATAGCTACTTTACCTTTATATCTTGCATAACTTTCCTGCTCTTATATTCTAATAAAGGTACACATCCCATATGTCATCTTAAGAGACATTTAATAAAACTCACAGGGAAAAATTATTAAATAAAGTTTTGCTTCTTCTTGTAGCGGCTATTTGCATTCACAATTTGTCATAACTGAATCTGCATCACGATAGTTTGAGCAGAAGTAGCAGGTCCCCAATTTATCATTAAATAATAATGTGGTAAAATGGAGTTTCTGAATCTCGCACAATGTTGTTCTTGGCTTCACTTGATTTTGCTCTGAGCAAGACTGGACATCACAGTGTGTCTCTGTGTTGATTACAGACAATGACACCATCATTCCAGCGTTTCCACAGGGACGTACAGCTGTGAACCACACCATGGCACAGACCAGGATGAACCGCCTGAGGGAGTAAGTGCTGTGAGCTTTTCTGTGTTCTGACCAATAGGAAACTGTTACTGATCCAAATGTTTTGGTTGACTCTGTAGATATTGGATGAATGTAATTTCAAGCACGCTATAAGGTGTGAACAGGTATTGTGCATGCTCACAAAGTGAACCATTTTAAACTGGGAGTTAATATGCAGTGTTCAGTTGCTTCCATTATTGGCCTCCACATCTGTTTAGAGTTAGAAGACTTCTTACACCTAAAGTCACTTGATGTAGACAAAGCACATGCTTGTGTCTGTTTCTGTGGCTCATTCTTCTTGGAACAGGTCAAGACCCCCAACCCCAGAGGCTGTAGCTTCCAGAATGCATTATGCTTGACTTTCCTAACTTCACTGCTCACCAAAGACATTGTGGAAGAGTTTGCAGGTTTGGTAATTAACTTATTTCACCATGTTTTGAATGCACCTTGTGTATCCTACTCACTCACCCACGTCCTCTCCTTCAACACATCCCCACCATCCTCACCCCCCCCCCCCCCCACCTCCTTCACTCCCCACAACATCCCCAGCCCCCTCACCCCACAGCACACCCTCACCCTCCCAACTCCCCACCGCACCCCCACCGTCCTCACATCCCATCACATACAAGATCCTTAGGGGACTTGACGGGGTAGATGTGGAAAGGTTATTTCCCCTTGTAGGAGAATCTAGCACCAGAGGGCATAATCTTAGAGTAAGTGGTCACCAATTTAAGACAGCGATGAGGAGGAATTTCTTCTTTAAGAAGGCTGTAAACCTGTGGAAGTTTTTTGCCACAGAGGGCTGTTGAGGCTGAGTCATTTAGGTTATTCAAGGCTCTGATAGACAGATTTTTAATCAATAAGGGAATCAAGACTTATGGAGAAAAAGGCAGAAAGGTGGAGTTGAGGATTATCAGGTCAGCCATGATCTCATTGAGTGGTGGGGCAGACTTTCTGGGCTGAATGGCCTAGCCTTGCTCCTACATTTTATGGCCCTAAAACACCCAATCTTCCAGTTTCTCAGTCATCCATAGTATTCACTGGAGCTGGGTAGATTATTTAACAGCCCCTCAGCATGCTATGTTGACCAGGCCTATTTCTCAGGCTGTCAGCAGCTCAGAAAGGTCAGCGTGACAAGTGACTGCTCCACAAGGACTATTTCTTTACTGAAACTGGCTAGGAAACCGAGGAGTTGTAATATTGGCCTGGTAAGAGGTTCCTGCCCACAGCACTGCTTTCTGGTGAAAGTAATTTCAGTGTTGGGCATTGATTGTCAACCTCTTCAGAGTTAGTTCATCTGTCTTACAGTCCTCTCACCTTGATCTGCTCTCCCTCAGTGCTCTGTATCGACTAGTAGTGACAGTGCCATTGCTGAAGTGTGCAATATCTATGGAATGCTCCATGACAACTCACCAAGGTCTTTACACCAGTGTCTCTCATGTACAAAGCCACCATCATCCATAGAGAAAATGTCAATAGGTGCGTGGTTATACCTCCGAGTTCCCTTCCAATCCTCACATCCACCATTGGGTCCAAGTGCTGGGACTTCTTTCCCAACGGCACCTTGCAGTTCTTTCTCCACAAGAACTGCGCTGGACCAAGATGAAGACTCATCATATACTTAAGAATAATTCAAGATGAACAGTGAATGCTTGTGATGCCAAGTACCTGAGAATTAATTCCAGAGAATGGTTTTAATGCCCTTTTTTTGTGTAATTTATTTTGCAAGCAAATGGTAATCATGCCTTATGAGATCAGGGATAAATTTATCTTCTTACATATTTCCTCATTTATTTAATTTATTCCAAAGCTCTGAGTGGAACGGCAGCCCACAGCACAATCTTTAAACTCAAGCTTCAAAGCTTGGAAATAATGATATTTTAAGAGGGTACAATAAGGTTAATTTAAATTGCTCCATAAATTCTGAGTATTGAAATCTCTTGGTGCCTGATCATTCTGATTAGTTGCAATTGTGAAGTATTCAAGTCCCCTCTGTGGTTGAACTTATTTCATATGCAACATTTAAATTAGGACAAGCCTGCTTCATATTTGATTGGTGATGTAAGGATAGATTACATAAGGAGGAACTTTAATGGATAAGGGAAGGTGTGATTGAGGGTTGTATTGTGTGTGTATTTCAGTTCACTCAGGGAGTCTGAGCTGTTATTGCAGCATGCTTTTTTATTGCCTGCATGGTAGAGGCTCCAACATTTAGCCGTCACCTGGTTAACTAGGAATCTCTTCCACTCTTACTGCCTGCCATCAGTGTGTGTTGGAAGATTGATGATCAACCTAAGGTCAGGCAATGGCCTAGACTATTAATCCAGAAACTCAATTAATGTTCTGGGGACCCATGTTTGAATCCCACTGTGGCAGTAGGTGAAATTTGAATTCAATTCAAGAACAAATCTAGAATTAAGAGCCTAATAATGACCATATCCCCATCCTCAATGATGGAAGAGTCCAGCACATCAGGGCGAAAGATGAGGTTGAAGCATTTGCAACAATCTTCAGCCAGAAATGCCGAGTGGATGATCCATCTCAGCCTCCTTCAGTAGTTCCCAGCCAATTTGATTCACTCCACATGATATGAAGAAACAATTGGAGAGACTGGATATATATTTTTGTCTCTATTCATTCATGGGATGAAGGAGTTGCTGGCTAGGTCAGCATTTATTGCCCATCAAGGGGTTAAGAGTCAACCATATTGCTGTGGGTCTGTAGGCCAGACCAGGTAAGAATGGCAGTTTCCTTCCCTAAAGGACATTAATGAACCAGCTGGGCTTTTCCTGACAATCAGCAATGGATTCATGGTCATTGTTAGACTCTTTATTCCAAATATTTATTGAATTTAAATTCCACCATCTGCTGTGCTGGGATTTGAACCCAGGTCCCCAGACTATTACCTAGGTCTCTGGATTAACAGTCTTGCGATAATACCACTAGGCCATTGCCTCCTGTCTGCAAACAGCTATGTGCCCTGACAACATTCTGGCAATAGTATTGAAGACTTGTGCTCCAGAAATTGCTGCTCCCCTAGCCAAGCTGTTCCAATACACTCACAACACTGGTATCTGCCCGACAATGTCCTGCCCTGGGAAATTGCCCAGGTATGTCCTGCACATAAAAAGCAGGACAAATCCAACCAAGCCAAATACCAACACAAAAACAGAAGTGCTGGAAAAGCTCAGCAGGTCTGGCAGCATCTGTGAAGAAAACTTCAGAGTGAACATTTCGGGTCCAGTGGCCTTCCTGAGAACTGCACTGATGGAAGGTGTCAGTAACAGCGCTATCAAGCAGCACCTGCTCAGCAATAACCTGCTCAGTGACGCCCAGTTTGTGTTCCGCCAGGGCCACTCAGCTCCTGACCTCATTACAGCCTTGGTTCAAACACGGACAAAAAAGCTGAATCCCAGAGGGGAGGTGAGAGTGACAGCCCTTGATCTCAAGGCTGCATTCGACTGAGTGTGGCATCAAGGAGCCCTAGCAAAACTGGAATCAATGGGTATCAGGGGGCAAATGCTCCATTGGTTGGAATCATACCTGACACATAGGAAGATGGTCGTGGTTGTGGGAGGTCAATCATCTCAGCTCCAAGACATCTCTGCAGGAGTTCCTCAAGGTAGTGTCCTCGGCCCAACCATCTTCAGCTGCTTCATCAATTAACTTCCCTCCATCATAAGGTCAGAAGTGGGGATGTTCTCCGATGATTGCACAATGTTCAGCATCATTAGCAACTCCTCAGATACTGAAGCAGTCCATGTTCAAATGCAATGAGATCTGGATAATATGTAGAGCTTGGGCTAACAAGTGGCAAGTGACATTCACGCCACACAAATGCCAGGCTATGACCATCTCCAAAAAGAGATTAATCTAACCACCACCCCTTGACTTTCAATGGATTTACCACACTATCCCCAACTATCAACATTCTGGGGGTTATCATTGTCCAGAATCTCAACTGGACTCACCACATAAACACAGCGGCTGCAAGAGCAGGTCAGAGGCTAGGAATACTGCAGCGAGTATCTCACCTCCTGACTCCTCAAAGCCTGTCCACCATCTACAAGGCACAAGTCAGGAGTGTGATGGAATACTCCCCACTGGCCTGGATGAGTGCAGCTCCGACAACACTCAAGAAGCTTGACACCATCCAGGACGAAGCAGCCGCTTGATTGGCACCACATCCACAAGCATTCACTCCCTCCACCACCGACGCTCAGTAGCAGCAGTGTGTACTATCTACAAGATGCACTGCAGAAATTCACCAAAGATCCTCAGATAGCACCTTCCAAACACACAACCACTTCCATCTAGAAGGACAAAGGCAGCAGATATATGGGTACACCACCACCTTCAAGTTCCCTTCCAAGCCACTCACCATCCTGACTTGGAAATATATTGTCGTTACTTCACCGTTGCTGGGTCAAAATCCTGGAACTCCTCCCTTAAAAGCATTGTGGGTCAACCCACATCAGGTGAACTGCAGTGGTTCAAGAAGGCAGCTCACCACCACCTTCTCAAGGGTAACTGGGGATGTGCAATAAATGCTGGTCAGCCAGCGATGCCCCCATTCCACAATAATGAATGAGCAAAGATCCTAAGGGATAATCAACATTTGCACTTGAACCAACATATTCCCTTGAATTTCTATTCTTGCAAAATATTCTGATGAGTGCACAATGAAAAGCTTCCACAAGACGTGTCTTTTTTACTCAAGTTCTGCAGTACAAATCGACAATTTGTCTCAGATATGAGGGGCTCATGATACTCTTCTGCACTGTAATCAATTAGTGATTCCATGAGCAAAGTGAGAAGTATAACTTGATTGTGGTTTGGAAAATGAAGGTAGGCAAATAACCAATGTGAGATGTAAGTATCGTTGCAGAATAATGAATCTGGTGTGAACTCAATGTGGAATGGAAATGAATATTGTGTAAAAGAAAAATGTGTGTGACTCACAAAAAGAGCCAAGTACAGGGAGATGAGAGGAGATTTGGCTT